AACCCTAAACCCTAAACCCTTAACCGTAAACCCTAAAGCATAGCAGTAATTAGCAGCAAGTTGCTGCAGTAAATGAACCTGCTGCGCCCTTTACCGAGTTTTATGGTCATGAATTAAAAAGTGCAAAAAGAGTAAATTAATTCAATTAAATGTAATTTTGCACTCTTGTGTATCCATCTTATTTCAAAAAGTTTGAGGTTTTATTTCATTTTCAGTTTTGTTCAAGTTTACTCTTTTCTTCTTTCTAATTTATTCTTTTCTAAACAGCTTCCTTTTCTTCTTTTTGCAGAAGCCCATTCAAGAGTTTCAAATAAAATAAAATCCAAATGGAGTTAAAGATAAATCTTTTTTATTTTGCTTTTATTTGCATTCCCTGCTTTATGCTTCTGCTGCACCTGCAGACAGTGCAGATGCGGTGTATGTACATACACCTACAGAAAACGAAACTTAAAAATTGATACAGACAAATATATATAAACTCTCTTTTACGACATTTATAAACCGCAGTAGCAGCTGCAGCACATGCAGCAGCTGCAGCTGCTGCAGCAGCTGCAGCAGCTGCAGCACGTGCAGCCCCTGCAGCAGCTGCAGCACGTGCAGCAGCAGCTGCTGCTGCAGCAGCTGCAGCAGTGTGTAAAGGCAACAGGACTTATTTGGCTGAGCTGCATCCAGGGCCCAGGGCTGCACGGATATAGATAAAAACAACAAAAAGGAGTAAACATTTGAATATATAATAAATATTTCATTTGGCATTAATTAAATTTTCAACTATTGGAGCTAATGCAAAGAGAGCTGCTGCAGTAGATACACCCGACTGCTCGTGGGCCTCTCCCACACAAGCTGCTGTTTCCCGCTGCAGCTGACAGTCGCTTTTTTGTCTTTTATGGCATTTTTTGGCTCTTTTATGTATCTTTTTTGATTATTTTGTGTAATATTTTTAATTGTTTTGTTAATTTTCAATTTAAATTTCGTCGCTGTGTTTTAAAATGAGAGAAGTCCGCGACTGATCACCTCGCACGACCACTGGAAGACGGCAGTGTGTGCCTGTTGCTTTGGAGGTTCCATTGTTTGTTATTTGTTTTCAAGGCTGAGCAGAATTATAATAAATGACAAAATAAATAAATAATAAAAATAAATAATAAATAAATGATGTAGAAGGCGAAGAGCCAACGACGTGAGCAGTAGGGCGCTGCGCGTGTTTGGGGCTGAGTGGCTCAAGTGTACATACACTTGAGGACTGGCTGGTTGCTCAAAAGCTGCTCGTTTTGCCTTAAAAGTCATTTATTTCATTTTCTTGTCATTTTTTGTGATTCCATTGAAAAATAAAACTCTAATTGGCGGTGAAATTTCTTTTTTGAGACCCTGTGGGCGCTCGCCGGTGTAGTGACACCCGGGCGCCGCGAGAGCCCGTCCGTACACCCCAGCGGTTCCTCTTCGCAGTTTTTCTTTTTTTGTTTTATTTATATATTTTATTAGTTATATTTCCCTCTTTTCCAAAATGGAGTGCGATTTGTGGGCCAGCGATGCAGCAAAACTCAAACAGCTGCAACAAACCGTAGACTCGCTGCTGCAGCGAGCCCGCGCGGATCCAGCAGCAGCAACAGGAGAAGCAGCAGCAGTGCTGCGCGGGCATGTGACCAGAATGGCGCAGGTAATAAATAAAAGCAGCAGACAAGCAGCAGCAAAGAAAGAAACAGATTAAACAATAAAGTCAACAAATAAATCCAAATAAATCCAAATAAACCCCGCAAACCCGACAAACAAATGCTAAGTGAAGCAGCTGGGCGAATTGCGGCGAAAAGCCTCAACGCCCAGGTGTCTGTACACCTGAATGGAGTCAATAATGGCGAGACACGAGGGGCTCTCTTGGAGAGATAAAAAGGCACTGGTTTTGTTTTGAGTTTTTTGTTTGCTGCTGCTGTTTTGCTGCTGCTTTGCTGCTGCTGCTTTGCTGCTGCAGCGCTGCAGCCAACTCGAGCAGTCGCTTATGAGGGCTTCGGAGTCCCCCGAGCTCTTTGGCTTATCTGCTGCTGCGCTGCAGCAGCGGCTGCTGCTGCTGCAGCAGCTGCAGCAGCAGCAGGACGCGCAGCTGGAGGCTTTCCGGCTGCTTTTCTCGCAAGCTGGGGTGTACAGACACTCCAAAAAAGAATCTTTTAATTCCAACTTCTCAGATTTCCCTCTCGAAGACAACAGTTCATTTTTGGAGGAAACTGCAGACACCCCAACTAGTGCCTCTGCTGTACGTACACCGCAACTTCACCCCGCAGTTTCATTTTTCTTCTTTTCCACTTTTCCATTTTAATCCTTTTTGTTTCTTCTTGCGGCTTTTGTCTTCATCTTTCTCGCCTTCTTCATTTGTTTATTGTCTTGCTATTTATTTATGTGTTCATTTATTTGTTCTTTTATTTATTTTTTATCATTTATTTTTTAATTCCTGCGTTTGTTCATTCCTCTATATTTGTTATTATCTGCTAATTTATTTGTTGTTATTTGATATATGCATTTGCTGCATTTAGTATTCATTTAGTTCTTATTATAGATTGTTTGTTTGCTTCTGTTGACCATTTATTTGTTTTTATTATTTCTTTGATCTATTAATAATTCATTTGTTTTGTTGTTTCTTTTATTTATTGACTATTTATTCGTTTTAATTAGTTATTTTATTTGTTTTATTAATTGTTTAACTTGTTTTCATTGTTTTATTACTTGTTTAATTTGTTTTTACTGTTTTATTAATTGATTAATTCGTTTTTATTAATTATTTCTTTAGGACGATTTTGGCTCCTTCGGCCCCAGCCCCAGCCTGTCGGGCTCCAGTCTGCTGCAGCAGCCGCAGCAGCAGCGGTGGCAGCAGCAGCAGCAGCAGCAGCAGCAGCAGCAGGACGAGGAGCAGCAGGAGCAGCAGCTTTCGTACTTGGCGGGTTCTGTGATGAATCTGAAGGAAATAAGTTACGCAATAAGTGACGAGGTGTCTGTACACCGCAGACTGCTCGACGCCACAGAAAGCTCCCTAGACACCGCAGAAGCCAACTTAAAAAAAAATAAAAAAATGCTCCAAAAACTTATGAAAAGACACTCCACCATTTGTCTCCTTCTCGTCGCTCTCGCCCTTCTCTGTCTCCTCATTTTCCTCTTAGTCTTCACAGCGTAGCAGCAGCAGTCGCGATCGGGGGGCTCCTAGGGGGCCCCGGGGGGCCCCCGGGGGGCCCCCCTGAGGCTCTGAGGGCCCCCTTGGGGCCCCCCAGGGGGGCCCCCTAGGGGCCTTCGAAGGGCCGTAGGGGCCCCAAAAACGGGGTCCGGAGGCCCTCCAGTCTCCTCCTTGCTGCTGCTCCTTTTAGGGGCCCCACAGGGGGTTTGGAAGCAGCAGCGAGGGGGCCCCCGGAGGGGAGTCCTGGGGGGACACCAGTGCCTCCTGCGGGCCCCCAGAGGCCGTGCTGGGGGGCCCCCAGGGGCACAAGGGGTGCCCCTAGGGGCCCCCTTCTACTCCTGTTACAACGGGGGCCCCATGGGGCCCCCCAGGGGGCAACGGGGGGCCCCTAGGGGCCCCCATCTACTCCTGATACAACGGGGGCCCCATGGGGCCCCCCAGGGGTGCCCCCGAGACTCAAAGCCCGCTTGTCTTTACTGTATCCGCTGGGGGGCCCCCTCGGGGGCCCCTGGGGGGCCCCTGGGGGCCCCCCGTGACCACTTAGGGGGCCCCACACCTCGGTGGCGTTGAACCCTGGGGATCTAGGGTTTAGGGTTTTATAAGCCTTTTTTTACTGCAAAGAAGAGTTGTTTTTGTATATAGCATTTTTGGTGAAGAAATATGTATTTGTTTTTTGTTCATTTTTGAGGTGTACGTACACCCCAGCAGTTCGGGTGTCGCTTTGAGGTGTACGTACACCCCAGCAGTTCGGGTGTCGCTTTGAGGTGTACGTACACCCCAGCAGTTCGGTGTCGCTTCCTTCAGGGTTGCAGGTCTTGCAAAGTCTCCAATGTCCTCTTAAGTAGCTGTTAATGCTGGCCAAGTTGTGAGCGATAAAGACTGTTCTCAGTATTGTTCAGAGATGACAGCAGTTGCTGAGTTGTACTGAACTTGCGCCATTTGGAATGCAGTGATATGACTTTGCACGAAAGTCTTTGAGAGAAAAGCTTTCGCACTTATGTGATTTCTGCGCACAGTTCAAAAGCCTTTCCATCTGTCCAACAAAAGTCCCAAAACCTTCTTTTTATCTTCTTTATATTGCCCAACATATCTTCTTCCTTCTGGCCTTCAGTGTTGTCAAATGCAAAGATCTGCTGCTGCTTTATTAGAGAAAAAGAATATTATTTTTGCATTAAAATGATTAATTTCAATTTGGCATTTTAATTCTTTCTGAAAAAAGCGAAAAACATTCTCGCGGGGTGTAAGCCAGTGCGAATCCATAGAAAGTGAGCTTGAGTAAGAGAATGGCGAACTGGTCCCTGCAATTATAATTATAATTGAAGTTGTAATTATAATTATTTATTCTCATTATTATTCTTCCTGTCTTTGTTTTAAATGCAAACATCAGCAGTCCGACAAACTGCTGCAGTTTGGGAGAGGCTGCAGTGCCTCTGTGTTGGCGGGCACTGGGCTTCGTGGTCTAGGGTTTAGGGTTTAGGGTTTGGGGTTTAGGGTTTGGGGTCTAGGGTTTGGGGTTTAGGGTTTGGGTAATTCCGTCTTGAAAACCTCCACAAAAAAAGATGTTCACCTCTAATTCGCCTCGCGGCGACCAGCTGCAGAGATAGCAGCAGCAGCAGCAGCGGCAGCAGCAGCAACAGCAACAGCAACAACAGCAGCAGCAGCAACAGCAACAACAGCAGCAGCAGCAACAGCAGCAGAGAGGCGAGATAATGAGAGCAGCAGGGGGGGACAATCAGAAGCACAAAATACAAGGGAGACTATGAGGGGGGCAGAACAAATAAATTAAATTAAATTAAAATCAAACTAAATTAAATTAAATTAAATTAAATTAAATTAAATAATAAATAAATAATCAAAAAAGCAGCACCTTTGTACTCCAGCCTTTCTGCTTGAAGTCCTCCACGATTTCCTCGGGCTCGTTTCTTTGCTCCAGCAGCTGCGAAGTAAATAAGTAAATAAATATAATAAGCAAATATAATAAAATAAATAAATAAATAAATAAATAAACTACTTAGAATAAAATAAATAAATGAATAAATTAATTAATTAATTAGTAGAAATGGGTAAATAAATGAATAGTAAGTGGTGAAATAATGGAAAGAAAGAATTTATCTTTTCGTGTCGCCCTGTTTTGTCTTTACTTTTTTCCTCCTTTTTTCTTTTCATTTTTCTTTGTTTGTCCTTTTTATCTTTTTACTGTTTTGTGTTTTTGTTTGTCTTCTTTATATCTTTGCTTATTTCTTTTTCTTTCATTTCTTTTTGAATTCTTTTATATCTTTTTGTCTTTTATTTATTTTCTTCTTGTTTTCTTTTTTTGTCTTAAAACTCACCAAATACAAAATTCCCTTCGGGCTCAAAAAGTCCTGAAGAGACAAAAGACGGCCGCAGCCACGCAAAGGGTTTAGGGTTTGGGGATTAGGGTTTAGGGTTTGGGGATTAGGGTTTAGGGTGAGGGGGTTAGGGTTTAGGGATTGGTGTTTAAGCTTTAGGGTTTGGGGTATAAAAACGTGGGAATTTTCGCAATTGGATTTTTCTTGCACTACTAAGGAGGGTTTAAGGTTTAGGGTTTCGCGGGGAGGGTTAAAGGGGCTTGAAAAGGACAGAGGGTTTAGGGTTTAGGGTTTAGGGTTTAGGGTTTGGCCCACCGGTACATTTGCCAGAAACTTGTCGGTCACTGCGCGGCCGCGGCGGCCGCCCCACCAGGGCAGGTCTGCGGGGGCCACTTTGGCCCGGGGGCTCCCGGGGACATAGGGCTAAAAAAAAGAAACAAAAAGGGGGAAAAGGAGGAAAAAAAGATAAATGAAGTTAAAATGGATTTATAAATAAATGCAGTTCATTTGGAAGATTAAAATGCGGAAAAAATGAGACAAAAAGACCCAAAATTGACCCCAAAAGAGACAAAAAGGAGAAAAATAAATCAAGTGAAGCGCAGAAGCAAATTAAATGGAAGCCACTAAACCCTAGGGGGTTTAGTGGCTAGGGTTTATAAGCTAGGGTTTAGAGGCTAGGGTTTAGTTGTTAGGGTCTAGTGGCTAGGGTTTGATAGCTGGGGCTCATTAGCTAGGGTTTATTAGCTAGGGCTATTTTGCTAGGGTTTATTGGCTAGGGTTTATTAGCTAGGGTTTATTAGCTAGGGCTTTTTAGCTAGGGTTTATTAGCTAGGGTTTATAAGCTAGGGTTTATTAGCTAGGGTTTATAAGCTAGGGTTTAGAGTCTAGGGTTTAGAGTCTAGGGTTTACTAGCTAGGGTTTGGAGGCTGACAGGGTTGAAGAGAATCAAATCAAAAAATGCCTCTCTCTGTGCCGCCTCCTTAATATCCCCTCCTCCTCCTCCGCTGCTGAAACTGCTGCTGCTGCCGCTGCTGCTGCCGCTGCTGCTGCTGCTGCTGCTGCTGCTGCTGCTGCTGCTGCTGCTGGCTGTGGGGCCCCTGAAGGCGGTGAAGAGGTTTGCCAGGAGAACCTCCTGCTTCTCTCCGCAGCAATTTAATTCAAAAGTTCTTTTTGTAGATTTTGCTGCAGCATTTTGCAAATCCACTCCAAACACCACCGGCGACAAACACGCACAAACTCCGGGGGCCCCCAAAGGCTCTTTGGGGGCCCCCAAAGGGTCTTTTAGGGCCCCCCAACGGCCTTTGGGGGCCCCCAAAGGCTCTTTGGGGGCCCCCAAAGGGTCTTGTGGGGCCCCAGAGGGGTCTTGTGGGGCCCCTAGAGGGTCTTCCGGGGCCCCCAAAGGGTCTTTGGGGGCCCCCAAAGGGTCTTTGGGGACCCCCAAAGGGTCTTTAGAAGCCCCCAAAGGGTCTTTTAGGGACCCCCAACGGTCTTTGGGGGCTCCTAAAGGGTCTTGTGGGGCCCCCACAGGGTCTTTGGGGGCCCCCACAGGGTCTCTGGGGGCCCCCACAGGGTCTTTGGGGGCCCCTAAAGGGTCTTGTGGGGCCCCCAAAGGGTCTTTGAGAGCCCCCAAAGGGTCTTCAGGGGCCCCTACAGGGTCTTTGGGGGCCCCCAAAGGGTCTTTGGGGGCCCCCAAAGGGTCTTTAGAAGCCCCCAAAGGGTCTTGTGGGGCTCCCAAAGGGTCTTGTGCGGCCCCTACAGGGTCTTGTGGGGCCCCTACAGGGTCTTGTGGGGCCCCCAAAGGGTCTTCGGGGGCCCCCAAAGGGTCTTTGGGGGCCCCCAAAGGGTCTTTGGGGGCCCCCAAAGGGTCTTTGGAAGCCCCCAAAGGGTCTTTGGGGGCCCCCAAAGGGTCTTGTGGGGCCCCAGAGGGGTCTTGTGGGGCCCCTAGAGGGTCTTGTGGGGCCCCTAAAGGGTCTTTGGGGGCCCCCAAAGACCCTTTAGGGGCCCCCAAAGGGTCTTTGGGGGCCCCTAAAGAGTCCTGAGGGGCCCCCAAAGGGCCTCCAGGGGCCCCCTGGTACCCTGGGGGGTCCCCCGGGTGTTGGCAGCGGTTTAGCAGCGAAGAAAGAAAGGCCGTGACGCATCCGCTGCCGCACCTAATAATAAATAAATAAATAATAAATAAATAAATAAATAAATAAATAAATAAATAAATAAATAAAAATAAATAAATATATAAATAAATAAATAATAAATAATAAATAATGAGTGGATAAATAACTGCATTAAGTGGAGGAGGAGAGGCGGAGAAAAACCGGTAGATAAATTGCAGAAGTGCAACAGGCGGCTTTATAAAACCTAAACCCTAAACCCTAAACCCTAAACCCTAAACCCTAAACGCTTGGCCCTAAAGCCTAAACCCTAGGCCCTAGACCCTAGCTCGGAATCCTATGACTTAAACCCTTGCCGTTCCCCGAAGGTATGCCGTGTGGAGCGCATCTGCCCTCTACAGCCTAGGGTTAAGGGTTTAGGGTTTAGGGTTTAGGGTTTAGGGTTTAGGGTTTGTCTTGCCCCATTTCCAAAGCCGTGGCGGGCTGCAGCAGCTGCAGCGCCTCCAAGTCCAGCAGCAGCGAATCCATTAGGAGAAAAGAGTCTTCGGAGGGTACATACACCTCAGAAAACTCAGGAAGACTCAAGTGTGGGGTCAGCGGGGTGGGCAGCCACAGCTGCTGCTGCTGCTGCTGCTGCTGCTGCTGCTGCTGCTGCTGCTGCTGTTCTCGATGCTGTTGGTGCTGCTGCTGCTGCTGGAGTAGCTGCAGCAGCGGCAACTGCTGCTGCTGTTGATGAGGTTGCTGCTGCTGCTGCTGCTGCAGCCCCGGGGATGGGGGAGAGGGCGAAGCCATTGCAAACTTCAAGTCATAAGCCTCAAACCCTAAACCCTAAACCCTAAACCCTCGGTGGAACCGCAGGAAACTAAAATCCTCTCACAGGATTTAATTTCAATTTCAGGAACTTCTAAAGAATAAATTAAAAGGAAAGAAGAATATAAATGAGCCAAACATATCTCTGGGACTGCAGCAGCAAAGTCAACAGACTTCAGGTGTACCTACACCTCATCGAAACCACCACTGCGCAATTCAAACTCAGAAAAATAATTTCAATTAAAACAAATAAATCATTTTTAAACAAATTTAAACGCTAATAATATAATCAGAGTGGTGCCACAAGATCTCTTGAAACGGGGGCCCCCAGGGGCCCCCTAGGGGGCCCCCTGGGGCCCCTGGGGGGCCCCCTAGGGGCCCCCTGGGGGCCCCCTGGAGGCCCCCTGGGAACCCCCGTACTTTCTAAGGGTCTTAATTCATGTTCTGCTGGTATTAGAGTTACGTTGTTTGAATTTATGAAATTATTTTTAAATTTTTAAGCAAATTTAATTAATTTAAATGAAATTAGAGACTCATAAGCAGCAAAACCGAAGACTTCCCACACCGGCAGGCCCGGGGGGCCCCTATGGGTCTTCCCGCACCCCTCGGGGGCCCCTGTGGGGCCCCTGTGGGGCCCCTGTGGGGCCCCTGAGGGGCCCCTGTGGGGCCCCTGTGGGGCCCCTGTGGGGCCCCTGTGGGGCCCCTGTGGGGCCCCTGTGGGGCCCCTGTGGGGCCCCTAGAAAGCCCTGCGGGGCCCCACAGGGCCCCCAAGGGCCTCCATTAGGGATAACGGCCCCAAAGAGGGCCCCAGGGAGGCCCCAAAGGGGCCCCAAAAAGGCCCCACAGAGGCCCCAAAGGGGCCCCCCAGGGTCCCCCAAAAGGGCCCCACAGGGACCCCACAGGGGCCCCTCAGGGCCTAAACGGGGCCCCGTAGGGGCCCCCAAAAGGGCCCCACAAGGCCCCTAAAAGGGCCCCCAAAAGGGCCCCACAGGGGCCCCCAAAAGGGCCCCACAGGGAGTCCCAGTGTAGGGCCATCTTAGAGCAACAAAGAGGTTTCTTAAAAAAAAAAAAGGTTTAGAAGTGACTAGAAGCAGCAGGGGAGGAGCTGCTAAGTCAAATATCCAGGGGTTTCCTAAACCCTAAACCCTAAACCCTAAACCCTAAACCCTGAGCCGTGAACCCTTGAGCGAAAAGAGTGACACCGCTGAGTTGAGGCAAACGAGTCTCCCCAAACCCTAAACCCTAAACCCTAAACCCTAGGGGGGCAGAGAGGGGAAAGACACAACAAAGAAGAGAGAAAGAAGGGACTCAGGACCCAAAGGCAGCAAACAAACAAGAAGGGGCCCTAGGCCCTCACAGACACAAAGAGCAGCAGAACGAAGCAGCAGCAGCAGCAGCAGCAGCAGCGACAGGGGAGTGCTGCTGCTGCAGCGGCTGCTTCGTCCCGTGCCGCAGCCAGGCCTCAAGCTCCTGCTGCAGCAGCAAAACGCTGCAGCAGCCGCAGCAGCAGGCTCCACAGCTGCAGCAGCAGGCTTTAGCTGCAGCAACAGGCCCTAGCTGCCCGAGCAGCAGGCTTTAGCAGCAGCAAAAGCAGGATGCTGCAGCCGCTGCAGCCAACAGCAGCAGCAGCAGCAACATCATCACCGGGAGGCTACAGCTGCTGCAGCCAACAGCAGCAGCAGCAGCGGCATCGCCGGGAGGCTACTGCTGCTGCAGCCAACAGCAGCACCACCACCACCACCACCGGGCCGCTGCCGCTGCAGCCAGCAGCAGCAGCAGCAGCAGCAGCAGCAGCAGCAGCAGCAGCAGCAGCATCAGAGGAGAGCCATGGAAAGGGCCCCCAAAGCAGTGAGGCCCACCATCAGCAGCAAATCTTTTCTTTTTTGTCTTCTCCCCCGCTGCAGCTCGCTGGCCAATATCTCCAGAAGCCCCACATGCAAAAAGGCCCCCGCGCCGAGCCCCGTGAGGGCCCCGGGCAAGAAGTGTACGTACACCCCAACGCTGCTGCTGCTGCTGCTGCTGCTGCTGCTGCTGCTGCTGCTGCTGCTGCTTAGGTCGCCGCCTGCAGCGCAACAACGCGGGAGCTCGCGCCTGAGTCAAATCAATTCTTTGTTTGCTACTTTGATTCATTCAATTCATTTATTGTCAAACTATTTATTTATTTATTTATTTATTTATTTATTTATTTATTTATTTCAATTTATTTATTTCAATTTATTTATTTCATTTATTCGTCAAGCCCGCGAATCTGCTGCCTGACGGGCTGGGGTGTACAGACAGCTCGCGGACGCCCGAGGGAAGTGAGGTGTACGTACACCTCAGAACGAGCAGCACGGACCACGGGCCAGCAGCAACAGCAGCAGCAGCAGCAGCAGCAGCAGCAGCAGCAGCAGCAGCAGCAGCAAACCTGGTGCATCTGCAGCAGCAGAGCGCTGGATGAATAGACCTGCAGCAACTCCGAGTGGGGCCGTCAAGGCGTACGACAGCATCTGGATAATGTAGCAGGTCTGGTCTGCGCCCACTGCAGCAGCAGCAGCAGCAGCAGCACCAGCAGCAGCAGCAGCAGCAGCAGCAGCAGAGGGATTGGCATCCACCAGAACGGGCAGAGAAGCCGCCGAAGGGGCAGCAGCAGCACTGGCAGCGGCCGCAACGAAACGCAGCAGCAGCAGAAACAGCGAAAGAGCAGCAGCAGCAGCAGCAGCAGAAACAGTGAAAGAGCAGCAGCAGCAGCAGCAGAAACAGTGAAAGAGCAGCAGCAGCAGCAGCAGAAACAGTGAAAGAGCAGCAGCAGCCGCAGCGGAAACAGCGAAAAAGCAGCAGCAGCAGCAGCAGCAGCAGCAGCAGCAGCAGCAGCAGCAGCAGCTCACCGTGCAGCAGCGAGCTGCCAACGGCGAAGGCCTCCAGAGTCTTGTGCAGCAAAATGGCAGCAGCAACAGTTTTGGGATTAGCAGCAGCACCTAAAGTGAGGCCCTCGAGCACGGAGTGTACAGACAGCCCAGCCAGCAGCAGGCTGCCGGAGAAGACGGAGCGCGCAGCAGAGCTGTGGGGCCCCACACTTCCTGCTGCTGCTGCTGCTGCTGCTGCTGCTGCTGGGAGGGCGGCTTTCTGCTGCTGCTGCTGCTGCAGCGCAGCAGCAGCAGCAGCCGCAGCGGGCAGCGCCACTGCTGTCTCGTCCATCAAGGTGTACGGACAGCTCAGGCTGGGGCCCTCGGGGTCCGCAGGGCTGCTGCTGCTGCTGCTGCTGTCACCAGCAGCAGCAGCAGCAGCAGCAGCAGCAGCAGCGGGGGCTGCAGGTCCATCGGGCGCCTTTCTCCGGTCAAGGCACTCCCAGCTGCTGCAGCAGCTGCTGCCTCCGCTGCAGCAGCTGCTGCCGCAGCCAGCGCAGGAATGGCCAGCATCGCAGCAAGCCTTGTGCCGCCCAGCAGCAGCAGCAGCAGCAGCAGCAGCAGCAGCAGCAGCATGCTGCGGCAGCATGCTCACAGGGCCTGGAGGCGCGCTTGCTGCTCCCGTGCCCATGGGGACTCTAAATGAGGGCCCGCTGCTGCTGCTAGCTTTGCTGCAGCAGCAGCAGCAGCAGCTATTTGCGTGTCTGTCTGCAGCTTCAAATCCGTGGCTGTCGCTGCAGTGTGGGGCTGCTGCTGCTGCTGCTGCTGCTGCGGGGTGTGGCTGCTGCACTGCAGCAGCGGCAGCAGCAGGCTGCCTGTCTTTGCTGCAGCTCAGGGACTCCAAAAGAGAGCTGCCGGTGCTGCTGCTGCTGCTGCTGCCGTCGCCTGGATGCTGCTGCTGCTGCTGCTCCACAGCTGCTTCGAGAGCAGCAGACACCAGCAGCCCAACCAAGCAGCACAGCGAAGCAACAGGGTACTGCCGCTGCTGCTGCTGCTGCTGCTGCTGCTGCTGCTGCAGGGACCCCTGCTGCTCCCATGCTGCTGCTAGCTGCTTCTCTGCGGATGGCAGCAGGTGCAGCAGCGCAACAGCAGCAACAACTCCAGCTGTATAGACAGTTGCTGCTCGCACTAAAAACGGAGAAGCCCCGAAGCAGCAAGCAGCAGCAGCAGCGCCGTAGTTGCTGCTGCAGCAGGAGGGCAGCGGGGAGCACGTGCTGCTGCACCGCCGGCTGCTGCTGCTGCTGCTGCTGCTGCTGCTGCTGCTCAGCTGCTGCTGCCGCCGCAGCAGCAAAAATGCTGGCACCGAGCCCAACACGGCGCACAAGAATATCAAAAAGGCCGCCACTACCTTCGTGCGCAAACTGCAGGCAAACCCCAAACCCTAAACCCTAAACCCTAAACCCTAAACCCTAAACCCTAAACCCCCAGCGCTAAACCGCCGCCGCAGCAAGCACAAGCAACGCCAAGTTCGAATCTCCGTGGACGCCGCGGCAAGCGCTACTGAAAGCAGCAGCAGCAGCGAATGAAAAGGCAGCAGCAGCAGCAGCAAATAAAGCAGCAGCAGCAGCAAATAAAGCAGCAGCAGCAGCAGAAGGCTCACTCTTTTTCGTCTACGTCGTGAACATCTGTGGGGGGCCCCCAGGGGGCCCCCTGGTCTTTGGAGTTTGGGTTTTGGGGCTGGTCGTTCTGCGACTGTTCTGCTGCAGCAGGTTGCTGCAGCAGCAGCAGCAGCAGCAGTTTCAGCAGCAGCAGCAGCGGCTGCTGCTGCTGCTGCAGGCAGAAGAGGCCGCCTAAGCCGCTGCGCCGCTGCTGAGGCCCCGGGGCCTCAGGGGGCCCCCTGCTGCTTGCCATGGCCCCAGCCAAGCAACGAGGGGCAGCAGCAGCAGCAGCAGCAGCAGCAGCAGCAACAGCAGCAGCAGCAGACTGGACCCTCGCTTCTGCCTCCGGAAACAGCAAAGCGCCGTCAGCACCACCAGGACCTAGGGTTTAGGGTTTAGGGTTTAGGGTTTGGGCGCGTGCCACACACGTCGACGCGTGGAAGATACGGCGCATGCATTCTGTGTGTGCGCTGCTGGCACTAGGGTTTAGGGTTTAGGGTTTAGGGTTTGGGGTTTAGGGGGCCGGGGAGGGGGAAGCATCCAAGGGGCCCCCGGGGCCCCCCAAGTTGCTTTTGGAAGTTCAAAAGAATAAAAGTGAAGAAAAAGAAATGGAGGGGTTTGAGGGTTTAGGGTTTGTGTGTTGGGGTGTCTAGACAGCTCAGCGGCGGCGGCGGCGGCGCGGCGCTCCTCCTCAGAAGCAGAAAAGACTTTTCGAGGATTTCTTTCTTTTAATAATGTCAAAAGAATATAATTGCAATTTAAAACAATAAATGCAATTCATTACTTGCTGCCGGCTCGCCAAAGCCGGGGCTGGGGCCCCCGCGCGCCGGGGGCCCCACCCCAGGTGTACATACACCTCACGCAGCCCGCTCAAACCGCCAGCAGCAACACAGCAGCAGCAAAACTTCGCTCCACTTTTGCTTCTCTTCTGCAGTCTTCAAAAGCTTTAGAAGGCCGCCGGGCCCCTTTGAAGGCAAAGGGGGCCCCTGGGGGCCCCACAGGGTCCTTTGCAGCAGAAGAAACTCAGGTGTACGTACACCGCGAAGCCCTGCCTCCCAAAGGTCCAGCCCTAGCAATACAGCTAGCCACAGCTAGCCATAGCTAGCCATGGCTAGCTACAGTGGCTACAGGTGCACACAGCTAGCTACTGCTAACTGAGGATAGCTGCAGCTAGCTACAGCTAGCTGTAACTAGCCACAGATGCCACAGCCAAATACAGTCAGCTACAGCCAGCCCTGCCCATTCAGTGCCAGCCTTGGCTCACCAGAAATCCCTAGAAGCGCCCCCACCCAGTTATGGCTAGCTGTAGCTAGCTGTAGCTAGCTGTAGCTGGCTGTAGCTAGCTGTAGCTAGCTGTAGTTAGCAGTAGCTAGCCGTCGCTAGCCGTGTCCAGCTGCAGCTAGCTGCGGCTAGCTGTGTCCCGCTGTAGCTAGCTATGGCTAGCTGCAGCTGGCAGCCACAGCTAGCTGCAGCTAGCAGCCACAGCTAGCTGTGACTGCTGGCTGTGGCTAGCTGTGGCTAGCCGTGGCTAGCTGTGGCTAGCTGTGGCTAGCTGTGGCTAGCTGTGGCTAGCTGTGGCTAGCTGTGGCTAGCTGTGGCTAGCCGTGGCTAGCCGTGGCTAGCCGTGGCTATCCGTGGCTAGCTGTGGCTAGCTGTGGCTAGCTGTGGCTAGCTGTGGCTAGCCGTGGCTAGCCGTGGCTAGCTGTGGCTAGCCGTGGCTAGCTGTGGCTAGCTGTGGCTAGCTGTGGCTAGCTGCTAGTGCGTCAGTTGGCGGGGTCGAATGTGCCGTGGCAAGCCATTTGGAACTGCCAGTCGAGTTTTGCTGCAGTGTAAACTTCCACTTCCTTTTCCGGGATGTCGTATTCTATCAGCTCCTCCAGCGGCTGACCTGCAGCAGCAGCAGCAGCAGCAGCAGCAGCAGCAGCAGCGGTGGCAGCAGCAGCAGCAGCTGCGGTGGCAGCAGCAGCAGCAGCAGCAGCTCTAGCAGCAGCGGGAGCTGCTGCTGCTGCTGCTGTCTCTCAGGGGCTCGAGCTACCTGTCTGCAGAGAATTGCCTGCCTCTTCCCACCTGCCTCAGCCGCCAGCTAGCTGGCTAGCTAGCTAGCTGCCTCAGCCGCTAGCTGGCTAGCTAGCTAGCTAGCTGCCTCAGCCGCTAGCTGGCTAGCTAGCTAGCTAGCTAGCTAGCTAGCTGGCTAGCTAGCTGGCTGGAAAGCTGGCTGGTTAGCTAGCTAGATAACTAATTAGCTCGGTAAGTAAATAGCTCGCCTACTATCTACCTGTTTGCCTGGATAGGTGAGTTGCTAGCTAGCTAGCTAGCTAGCTAGCTAGCTAGCTAGTCATCTCGCTGGTAGCAGGCTAGTCACTTAGCTAGCTAGCTAGCTAGCTAGCTAGCTAGCTAGCTAGCTAGCTGTTCGGGAGTGTGAGTGGCTGTGTGTGGGTAGGTAGGTGCGGTTTGCTTGTGGGCTGTGTTGAGTCCGCACCGTTGTAGAGGATCTGAAGGGTCCTCTTCGTGCTGCTGCTGCTGCTGCTGCTGCTGCTGCTGCTGCTGCTGCTGCTGCTGCTGCCTTGCTGCTGCTCGAAGGAGTAGCCGTCTGGGGGCGGGTTGTGTCTGCAGACTTCGACAGAGACGAGGCTGTTGGCGAGCTCGAGGTGTACGTACAGCAGCAGCTCCTGCAGCTTCTCAATCAAAGCATCGCCTTCGTATTGGCCTTCGAGAGGAGCAGCAGCAGAAAAGGAAAGGAAGACAGGCTCAGCAGCAGCAGCATCCAGTGCTGCTTCCCGCAGCGCCTGCTGCAGCAGCAGCAAACTGTCGCTCCGCGGGCTCGCAGCAACAGCAGCAAGCGGGTCTTCCTGCGGCTTGTAAGACAGCTCCTTGTAAGACACTATGTGCAGGTACACGGGGCGCGCGCTCCGCGGCAGCGGCTCAGCAGCAGCAGCAGCAGCAGCAGCAGCAGCAGCAGCAGCAGCAGGGTTAGCAGCAGCGGCTGCAGCGGCAGCAGCAGCAGGCGGGGAGGACGAGGAAGACCGCGTCCCTGCGGCTGCAGCAGCGGCAGCAGCAGCAGCGGCGGAAGCTTCTGCGGAGCCACCAGCAGCAGCAGCAGCAGCGGCGGAAGCTCCTGCAGAGCCAGCAGCAGCAGCAGCAGCAGCAGCAGCAGCAGGAGATATTGCAGCAGCAAATTCCTCCGCCTTGTCTGGCAGCGTGAGCAGCAGCACAACCGACAGGTGGGGTGGGACTTCGTCGCAGGAAACCGACTGCACACACAAATGAGGTATTCAAAGGATCTTTTTGCAGAATTAAATCAATTTTATGAATTTATTTTGTAAATTAATTTAATATTCAATTTTATAAAGCAATTTAATCCCTAATTGGTCCAATTATTCGACTTTTTTGACGAAGACGGCTGCAGTTGACGAGGTCACTCGCAACAATGGCTGCCTTCCGGAGAGCAAATTTGCGGGTAAATAGCCGGAAAAGAAGATAATAAACAGCAAAAAATGATTTGAAATAAATAAAAATAAATAAATAAACAAAAATTAGATTTAAAAGGCCAAATAAAGGGGAATAAATGGCAAAAAGGCAAGCCAGTTCGCCCGCTCGCCTGTCGCCACTCCAGCGCGGGTTGAATGGCCTGGATGAGGGCGACGTCTTTGAACCTGAGGGGCCAAAAAGAGTCGAAAAGCGCCAAAAAAAGCAAATAAAATGAAATAAAAGAATAAAACAAATCAAATGATTCATTTTAAGGGTTTAATTGAGAGAAATTGCGGCGAATTCACTGCAGAACTCACTTTTCAGCTATGGGCAAACGAGCCTTCTTCGGCTCCAGGGCCCCCCACTGAAACAGCCCCTGGGGCCCCCAGCTGTGCCCATAGCATTCTGTGCCTGTGGATTTGCAGTACCCTTCAGTACCCTCTTGGGGGCCCCCCTGGGGGCCCCCCTGGGGGCCCCCCTGGGGGCCCCCATAGAGGTTGTTGAAGCCCCACTCTTGCACCATATGGAGGGCCTCAGCCCCCAGGTCTTCGTCAACTATAATGTCCACAACAATGCGCACGAGGGGAGCAGCAGCTGCTGCTGCTGCTGCTGTTGCTGCTGCTGCAGCAAGAGGGTTCCTCTCTGCAGCAACCCCGGGAAGCACCGACACGGGGGCCCCCTCACTCTGAGACCGCAGGGGGCCCCCCGACGGGGGGCCCCCAGGGGGCACAGGGGGGCCCCCAAGGGGGCCCCCAAGGGGGCCCCCAAGGGGGCCCCCAGGGGGGCCCCCAAGGGGGCCCCTTTTAAACAAACCACTTGCTTGGGGGTAGGCGAGGTGGACAGAAGCTGCTGCCAATCTGGGGTGCCTAGGCAGCTGTAGGGGGCTGAAACGAGGGTTTAGGGTTTGGCGAGGGTTTAGGGTTTGGCGAGGGTTTAGGGTTTGGCGAGGGTTTAGGGTTTGGCGAGGGTTTAGCCTTTGCAGGGTTTGGCCAGCGCTGAGCTTTTGGGGACTTGAACTCCGGTGAGGGCTTGGGGCTCCGCTAGGGTTTAGGGTTTGGCGAGGGTTTAGGGTTTGGTGAGGGTTTAGGGTTTTGGAAAAGGAGGGTTTGTCAGTTCTAAAGTAATTGTCTCCGTCAGCAGCAGATAAACCCAAAGAAGCAGCAGCAGCAGAAACAGCAGAGGTCCCTGCAGAACCCCACCTGAGAAGGCAAACAGACAAAAAGAAAAGCTGCTGCTGCTGCTGCTGCTGCTGCTACTGCTGCTGCTGTTGCTGTTGCTACTGCTGCCGCTGCTGCTGCTGCTGCTGCAGCACCTGCGGACTGTGGCGGAGCTGATGAGGTCCAGGGGGGCCCCTTCTGCTGCTGCTGCTGCTTGGAAAGAAAGGGGTTCGACTTCATCTGGAAGGGCCCTCAAGGGAGTGGCTGGATTGCTGCAGCTGACAGTTTGGAACAGCAGCAGCAGCTTAGCTGAGTAGCTGCTGCCAGCAGGCTGCAGCAGCCGCTGCGAGGCCCGCAGCAGACACAAGTCCCGTTTGCTGCTGGGAGCAGCAGCAGCAACAGAATACAAAGTTGTTCCTGAGGAGTCCAGCACGGAGACGGAGTAGTGCGAAGCTGCTGCTGCTGCTGCTGCTGGAAGCACCAGCCCCAGGGACACCCAGCTGGCAGCAGCAGCAGCAGCAGCAGCAGCAGCAGCAGCAGCACCCGCGCTCGCTGGCGGCAGCAACTTAAATACATATGTCTTTGTTCCTTGGGGACATTCTAAAGACCAAACAAACCCTCGAGTTGTTGAGGCCCAGCCGTTGCAGCTGCTGCTGCTGCTGCTGCTGCTCCTGCTGCTCTCCGGCTCGCCGGTGCTGCTGCTGCTGCTGCCGTCCTTGCCTTCGCTGCTGCTGCTGCTGCTGTCCTTGTCTTCGGTGCTGCTGCTGCTGCTTTCGCCGCTGCCTTCGCTGCTGCTGTTTTCGCTGCTGCCTGCGTCTTCGCTGCTGCTGCCGCTATCTTCGCTGTCTTGGCCACCCCCGCTGCTGCTGCTGCCACCCTCGCTGCTGCTGCTGCTGCCGCTGCTGCTGCTGCTGCCGCTGCTGCTGCTGCTTCCACCTGTGTCGCTTTCTTTAGAAATAGGAGCCACATGAATTTCCAAAGACCCCTCGAGCCCCTGGTCATTCTGTTGGGGCCCGAGGAGCAGCCGGAAGACGAGCAGCACTTGTTCGTCAGCAGCTGCTGCTGGTGCTGCTGCAGCAGCAGCAGCAGCAGCAGCAGCAGCAGCAGGGGCGCGGACCGTCTGCATGTGGGGCCCCACAAGAGCAGCAACAGCCCCCGGAGTGAAGATGGGGGCCTTAATTCTGTTAATAATGGCCACGGGCTTTCTCTGTAGATTGAGGAGTTTGATGCTGAATTCATTTGCTGCTGCAGCAGGAGCAGCAAGGGCCTGGGGCATGGGCCAGGCAGCAGCAGCAGCAGCAGCAGCAGCAGCAAAGGGCTGCAGCGCGAGCGACAGCAGCAAGCGCTCGCCCTTCTGAAGGCTGACTGGGTAGAGAGTGATCTTGCTGCCGCTTGCTGCTGCTGCTGCTGGGAGTTTTGCTGCTGCTGCTGTCAAAAACACCCCCAAGTAGGGGTTGTAGCGAGTGTGGGGCCCCACAGCAGCAGGCAGCAGCAGCAGCGGCACGTACACCTCAAGGGCCCCCTTGTACACTTCTTGGGGGGCCTCCAAAGCAACAGCAACTTCGAAGGGGGCCCCCCAAGTGGGGAGGCCCTGGACAGCAGCAGCAGCAGCAGCAAGCTGCGGCGTCCAGAACGCAGCAGCAGCAGCAACAGAAGCAGCAGCAAACGCCATCGAACTCTGCTGCTGCCGCTGCAGCCGCTGCTGCAGGCAGTAACCGCCACCAGCAGCAGCAGCAGCAGCAGCAGACTCCAGCCGGCTGTCGCTGCAAAAAAGCAGCAACAATTCACCGCCAAAACGGTCGAAGGGCTAGGGTTTAGGGTTTAGGGTTTAGGGTTTAGCGTTTACCATTCGTGAACCTTTTTCAACCATTCTTTCTTCGGAAATCATCGGGGGTTTAGGGTTTAGGGTTTAGGGTTTAGGGTTTACCATTCTTGGATTTTTTGTTTTTCCACAACTCTTTCACCTGTATATGGTTTCGAATTCAACTAAAACTAGGCTTTAGGGATTAGAGTTTAGGGTTTAGGGTTTAGGGTTTAGGGTTTGCCATTCTTGAATTTTTTGTTTTTCCACAACTCTTTCACCTGTATATGGTTTAGAATTCAACTGAAACTAGGCTTTAGGGTTTAGGGTTTAGGGTTTAGGGTTTACCATTCTTGGATTTTTTGTTTTTGCACAATTCTTTCACCTCTATATGGTTTAGAATTCAACTAAAACTGGGCTTTAGGGTTTAGGGTTTAGGGTTTAGGGTTTAGGGTTTAGGGTTTACCATTCTTGAATTTTTTGTTTTTCCACAACTCTTTCACCTGTATATGGTTTAGAATTCAACTAAAACTGGGCTTTAGGGTTTAGGGTTTAGGGTTTAGGGTTTAGGGTTTACCATTCTTCGATTTTTTGTTTTTGCACAACTCTTTCACCTGTATACGGTTTAGAATTCAACTAAAACTGGGCTTTAGGGTTTAGGGTTTAGGGTTTAGGGTTTACCATTCTTGGATTTTTTGTTTTTGCACAACTCTTTCACCTGTTTATGGTTTAGAATTGTTGATTTTGACCCAAAATCCCAAATCCCAAATCCCAAATCCCAAATCCCAAATCCCAAATGGTAAGAACCTAAAAAACAAAAACGTGTTGAGAAAGTGGACAAATACCAAATCTTAAGTTGATTTTGACCCAAAATCCCAAATCCCAAATGGGTTTAGGGTTTAGGGTTTAGGGTTTAAGGTTTACCATTCTTGGATTTTTTGTTTTTGCACAACTCTCTCTTCTGTAAAAGTTTGCAAAATTTCCAAAAGAAATTCCGAAGAGATTTCTGTGCTGTTGCTGGTTGGGGGATAAACGCCGTGCACCACGACAGTGCCTTCCTGCGCAAACCCTAAACCCTAAACCCTAAACCCTAAACCCTAAACCCTAAACCCCAAACCCTAGCCCCGAACCCCAAACCCTAAACCCTAAACCCTAGCGCTTTGGTGCGCTAGGCCGTTGCTTCTTTTGCCGCTGCGGCGGGAGCGCAGCAGCTGCTTCGGGCCCCTTTCCTCCCGAACTAGGGTTTAGGGTTTAGGGTTTAGGGTTTAGGGTTTAGGGTTTAGGGTTTGTCACGGTGAGGTCCGTCTTGGGTTCGGAAAGGGTTAAAGTTCGAATTTCAAGTCCATTCATTTCTATAAACCCTTCTTGGCAGTTTTCAAAAAGTCCTCCTTTGCTGAATTGCAAACAACTTTGGTGCAAATCCCAACACTCTCTGAGGGTTTGCTGCAGCCACGCGGGCTCCTGCTCGAC